GGAGGCAGAATATAAACCACTAGAGAATTACCAGGAACTGATAAATGGAGGAGATAAGGGCACAGCACAATGGGGGGCGAGGGGGCACAGGGACCGCAGGCCAACACCAGGGCAGGCTCTCAGAAGACAGTTCAAGCAGAGCCTTGAATGAAATGAAGTGAGGAAGAAAAGCACTGGAGGCGGCGGGACAACCAGCCAGGGCAGAGGCTCTGAGGCACCACTTGGCTATGGCCGAGCGAGCGCAGAACACAGGAAGCTGGTGTGGTTGGCGTGTGGAGGGGGCAGGGGCCAGATCACAGGCCTTCAGGGAGGCGGGGAGGCCAGGCTCAGAGCCAGGGAATGAGACTAAAGATGTGAGAATGAGGCGACAGCAGGGCTGAGAAAGAGGACCCTCACTTTCCCAAAGGACAAAAGGCAGGAAAGACAAAGGGAGAGATACCAGGTGGACATCGGGGAGTTGATGCAGAGGGCAGTGACATCTCCCTCTCTCTGTTCCTTTCTACTGGGATACCCGAGTCTGCAAAGGTGGGGCTCCTGCAGACAAGATGAAGTGGTCACGTAGAGACCCTCTCTCAGTGCTCCGAGCCCTAGTTTTCAGACTGACATGTCCCGCACAGTCGTTGCTACCACCCAGCTAGAACGTCCCCTCCTTCACAGCCAGGGGACAAGCTCTGAGGTTTCAGAGAGAAGGCTCCTCTACCCAGGAGGTTTCGGTGGGGTTTGAGTGGGCCTCACTGCACAGCCACCTTCCGCCCCAACGGCGGGACGGTCTAAGTAAGAGCACCAAGCTCGCTGAACTTTCCAGATGCAACTAGGAGCTTCCACCTGAAGGTGGCTCTCAGACAGCAGGAGGGGAAGCCGCCCTGTCTCCCAATGCCCACCCCCTGCCCTGGCCCCACCAAGCCTGTGTTCTGACAAGGGAAACGACCCTTTGTGAGTGCCCTGATGCCAACGGCTCTGCCTACGGCTATTTTTAGAAAGCCAAGGCGGTGGAAAGTTTCCACTGAGGATCGACTCCTCTCGTTTCCTAGGTTGAGAAAACAGGAAGCCCTTCAGAATCCGGGCTTTGAAAAGCTTTGCTGAAGCTGCGCTGACCCCACCTCCCCTGGCAGTCGGCTTTCAGGGCCTCACAAAGGCCCTGGCTTACCAGGCCCCACAGGGCTCGCAGGGGGGGCTCGGCAGCCGGTCGCCATTGGTTCCTGGTTTAGAGCCCCCAGGAATCCACTGGCACCTGGCACACAGTAGGTGCCCAGTTAATACTGGTTAGCTGAATCTGTCCATCCTCTTGAGTTCCCACCCCATGGATCTCTTTCCATACTTTGGAAATGCTTGTTATTCTAATACATACATTAGCATACATGTATCATTTGAATAGATACATACATATCACATACATACCTACTGCTCTACAAACCAACACCTGCCAGACACTGGGCACTGTGGTAACTTCGTCACTTGTATTATCTCATCCAAGCTCCTTAACAAACCCTAGAAGGAAGGTAACATTTTTATACACAATTTAGAGATGGGGAAACTGGCACAGAGCACTTGTATCGCTCAGGCAAGGTTCAGCAAGCGAGGGAGAGGCAGAGGTGGGACTCTAACCCTGGCTGTCAGGCTCTAGAACCTGGACCGTCACCTCACACATGCTCTCAGTGTCCCTCTGAAGAACAGCGAGCCCTGCCGGACTGGTTGCTGGCTCAAAAGAAAGCACCAGTCCAGAGTCCAGCAAAGAGCACAGGGGTATTGCCAACCCTCCCAGGCAGCAGTGATAGAGTCCACTTCACCAGGCATGAGCTAGGAGCTTGTATGTCTGCCGCGGCCTCTCATCCTCACAACAGCTCTGAAGGGCACACACCATTGTGATCCCCCCTTTACAGATGAGAAAACCAAGGCACAGAGAGGTAAAGTCACACGGCCAGTTTCGTGAGGGAGCTGAGAGTCACGCTTGGCTTGTCCAGTTCTAACACAGCTTATAGTCTCTCTCCTCTTATTACGGGGGTTGTAGACTCATCCAGGCAGGGTTTTCCTGGGAAAAACAGCCTGGATCTAGGAGGACCCAGCTTGCACAGGGAGACACTTTGAGCAAATCTCCACAGTGACCCTCACTGTGAGTTTTCCATCTCTAACTGTAGATAAGGCTAAGATGAGAAAATAGGAGGCGGCTGTGGGAAGGATTCAGTGTCAGAACCAGGAGAGGGCAGGTTCATGTACCTGTGATGGGACCAGCCCCTGAGACCAGACAACACAGTTCAGCTGCCAACCCGCAGGTGTGCACACACCTTAGGGCAGGTGCACTCCCTGTGTCTGGGCCTGTGGGCCACTGTTGATGGCAGCTGCTGCTTTCTAAGAATGTTGAAGGAAGCCTTTCCACAGGGCCCGCTATTCTAAGACCTCGCTACGTTGGTTCCAGGAACTAGAGTCCCAGATAAGAGGCCAAAATGGGAGAGGAGAGCTAGCGCTTGCTGCCAGTGGCTGGCATTGCAATCTTGGTTCTCTGCTAGGAATTCCACACGTCTTCCTGGAGAAAGAGGCAACCAACTCTTCCAAGGCCCCTCTGAGGACACCACCTACTTCAGAAGACTCACACGGTGCGGGTGGGTGGGGGTCCTGGTTATGCTGAAGGAAACAGAGATTATGTTTACATTGGTGGCTAGTCTTTGTCTGTGGTGTTCCTACCTACTGTCCTTTTAAAGGCCTCTTTTGAGAGCTGTCCATTTTGCAGGTCAAGGAACTGTATTTTAGACATGTAGTAGGCATTTTCTGGATGTTGTAATAATGGGAGGAGCTTGGTATACAGTAGAGAGCCTACAGTGCATTAAATAAAAAGACAGGAGGAGAGACACTTACTGAAAACATGCCACATGGACCAACTCCATTCCTGCCATGATTTTTTTTTTTTTAGGCTACCATTTGGACAACTTTCACCAACACATCCATAAGAAGGTGTTTCTTATGCTAAAAACTGTCAAACGTATTATCTCTATGCAGAGAACAGAAATGTGGTTTTTTTGGGGGGTGGGGGGAGAAAGCCCGATTGTTTTAGGTTCTAGAAAGCAAATCTGATCTATGTTTTTGGTGCCCACTCACTCGCCCCTACTCTCTCTTTTTTGTAGTTAATGAAATCATCAGGAAGGAGTTTTCAGGACCTCCCACCAGAAATCAGACGTAGAAGAAGCCATTAGCAAGACACCTTCCATACCTGTCCCCTCGGAGCCTTCCACTGCCCCTCGCCTGTTTTCCTGACTGTACCTGTCCCAGCCCGGAGCCCACACACGGGGCAGTGTTCCGGCAGATAGCTGACTCTACATCCAGGAGCTTGCCAGCTCTCTCTGGAAACACCAGCGAGGACACTCTGCCTTTTGATTTTTTTGTTTTAAATCCCAAAGAGCATCTCGGTGGACTTTCATGGTGTCCCATCCAAACCATAAGTGCCTGCTGACCAAAACTGTATTCTGATCAAGACAGCACTCTGGAACACACCTGAGAGCAGGGTGACGGCAGCTCTGGGCACGGGCTGGGTGGACGATGGAAGACAAAGCCCTGGGAATAAACCCCAGACCTCGGTCATTTTCCCGGTTCGGGCACCTTCTGAAGGAACAGAGTTCCCAGGCAGAGCAAGCAAAGAGTCTAGCTCACAGGCTGAAGGAACACAGAGAGGCCAGACCATTGTCCTTCCGGATCACCTGGTCATGCCACGGTGGGACCCCACCTAACAGTCATTTCGGAATTCTCATCGGGAAGCAAAACTGTCTGGCCCACACACGATCCCCTGGTAAAATTTCTTGGTGTTAAGTTATGACATGTATTCACTTTTTTTCCTGCTTTGGAAAGCTGGCCAAGGCGGCTGGAGGCAGAGCCTTCTTGGCCAGCTGCTCCCCACCCCGCAGCACGTGGTAGTGGACTGGAGAAGGTGACCCAGGCTGCGGAGTGAGCTCCTTGGCTGCAGCCCACAACCTGACGGCTTGCGATGTTCCCGCTTGCTTGCTTCCTAACAGCCAGAGCGCTTTTCTGTAAAGTAGTTAAGAATCCCAAGCATGTGCATTGCATTTTCAGAAGGAATGGCAGAAGGCTAAAGCAGTGCTCCCCTCCCAGCCCCCCAAACAACAGTACAGGTATTTTTGTTAAGTGGTTGTGAAATGAGGCAATTGCCAGGCCTAAGTGTTTCTGTGGGTGGGCTCCCCCCAGCAGGGGAAAAGGGCTGAATTCCCTCTTTCTGGCCTAGACTCAAAATGGGATACTCAAGCTCAGGATTTGGTCCTAAAGGTCATTGGTTATTTTTATCTGAACCGACTGAAAGCCCTGCTCAGCCCCAAAGACCCTTCTGCATTAGCTGCCTTGTCCAGCACAGGACTCATCTGAATAGGAGCAGGTCCACCCACAGGTGCACCCCTTAAGTGGTATGTGTGATCCCCCCACTTGTTTCTCTCCACTGAGCCCACCCAGCGTCCTCCAGAACTTCCCTCCTTTGGTGCAATTTTTGCCAACAAAACCCTCAAAGTTCTTAGCAGGTGAGTTTTTCTCACAAAGATGTGTTTTGTTTGCATTTGCTGCAGACACCCCAGGATAAGCTAGGGGTTCATTTTCAGCCATTCAGTAGTGAACAGAGTGTAAGGATGCCTCACACTCTGTGGGAGGCTGCACATCCAGTGGTTTCTGATCAAGTCTGCTAGGCAGAAAGACTAGGAAGGGAATCATGGCAGTTAAGGGTCCACTGTGGCTTTTCTAAGTGCTGGCTTTTTCATCAAGGTTACCCAGAAGTAAACCCTCCCTGAGAGCCGGGCCAGGGCGCAGCACTTGGTGACCACGCCCTGGTGTGTTTGGTGTCCCAGATAGAGGACAGTGTGCCCAGGTTGGGGCCTTTGCACCCTCCTGTCTATAACCTTTTGCCCAAGATCTAGCAACTGTTTTTCCCTGACAGGGGCCCTCTCCTCCATCCACTCAAGCACAGAGTTTAGCAAAAATTCTTTTAAACAAACAGAATGCCAGTAAGGTGACCACTGCTGCAAAGCTTCAGGGATGCAAAATTCTCCCTAATAAAAAGTTCCTTCAACAAGCAGCTTTACCCAAAGACCTTTCTCTCCAGCCATACTGACGTCACCAGGGAAGCGTTCAAGTGTTTGGCAAGTGATTTGTTCTCGCTTGACCTGGCTAGGAGCCATTTTTTTGCACATGAGGGAATTTGGCCTTTCCTCAGTTATCTGAATGTTTTACCCAAGTGCCTTCCTGCTATTGTAGCGAAGTCGCTCGGCTTCATTGAGCATGGGGTGAAAAAGGGCTAATGCATTTTCCATCCATCTTCTAACCATGTTAGCTACAAGGGCCTCCTGTGAGTTCAAACTCCTGTATGTGTATCTGTCCGTGTGTGTGTGTGTGTGTGTGTGTGTATAATACGCACCCAAACCCTCTTTTTCTAAGACATCTTAGCTGGATATTATAGGAAGCACTTCCATAAAACAACTATACCAAATGGCAAAGGAAAGAGAAACAAAGGCGTTCATTCCAAGACATAAACAGTCAAGAGAACATGTTAATTAGGAACCGACAGCTATGAGAAAGTTTGTCAGTTACAAATGCCGGAGGAGATTTTGCCAGGAGTGAATGCCCATGAACTATTTTCAGGATGGGAAGAGGCCACCAAATCCTCCGAGAGAAGTAGAAAGCCAGGACGTCTAAGTGGTGAAGGTGTGTGTTGCACATGTGTTAGAAGGACCTCGGTTAGGTGGAGGTTTGCACTTGCTACATCCAAGGTCAATTCCCCGCATGTAGCACCTCCACCAGAAGCCTACCGTGTTGCTGAATGTAGTCTGTTTCCAACGTTTGCCAGTCTTCCTGCATTGTACAAAAATACTGCTGCTTGATAATATATAATAGCAACCCAAATTAATTAGTATGTTATTAAATTTTATTTTCTTATCTGTATTTTTATGCTTTTTATCTGTCCTCAAAATATCACACCCCTGTTGGAATTGGAAGAATATTTATAAATGGTCAGAAGTCTTTTTCAGGTGTCTCTTTTAACATATATGTTGATATTTCCCCCCCCTAAGAGAAATGATGTATTCTTGAAAATGTGTCAATCATTCCAGAAAACAAAGCAAAATCCCACCGCAGAGCCTGTTGGTCAGTCACCTGTTTCCTAGACGAAGCCTCTCTGGAGAACGGGCACGGGGGGGCATGGCTTTGTGGCAGAAGGAACCACGTATTTCTTGCTTGAGACTGATGCTGCCTGACTTTAGCTCTGAGCCTCGATCTTGTCACCGAGGAGAATTGTCAAGTGTTTAGATCCCCAATAAGTAGGTGGTATAAAAAATCCTGCCTGTGTTGTAATGGGATTCTAGAAGCGTTTGTGTTCACAGAAACCTAAGTGCAGGCTGTTTACAGAGCTGACTGAATCCTGATAGATAACCCCCCCCCCCACATTATCCAAAGGACACCCAGACTTTTCCAGCACAGACGCAGCCTAGGATGAAACAAGTTGATTCCTTCCAAGAACTGGGAAGCGCTAGAGTAGCCTTTCCTGTTTACAGCTGTCCCAGGAAGCCAGCCTCAGCCAGTGCGGCAGCTGTCACATCGAGACAGATCGGAAGCCGATGTGTTTCTAATTGTCACTCTGGACGAAAGGGAGGCAGAATTTGGTTATTTTCACATCAAAAGATACTTCCCAAGAGCTTTCTGTCGTTCAAAATTGAAAGGATGTCTGGGGTCCGGTTAACAACTGCTCACTTCGAGTTTACAAGAAGCATGGGGTTGTGACATTCTTGACAAGTGGGGGTATAAACTTTCCCAAACTTTTTTTTTTTTTGGAGGGACAGCCCTTTAGCAGGTACCCATCACTTCTTAACCTTGGGGTCTTCCAAGCTTGAGGCTTGGGCATTCGGTCTCCTGGAGCCCAACCAGCCAATGCCCGTGTTTTCCTGCATCCCAATTAAATACTTAAGCAAAACGGAAGCACCACAGAAAACGGGATGGCGAGCACCAATCTCCTCCCCCAGCTTTCCCATGTGCCTTGAGTTATAGCCAACATCACTGTCTTAACTCAGTTTGTTCAAAAACAAACTTTCCTGGTGCCTCATGCGCTAGAGGTGCTCCCTAAACAAGCCCCCCTAAAACTGAGACAGGGTGTAGGGTGCCGGAAGGAAGGCAGAGCACCCTGCCTTGGTGCAGCTATTGCCCGAGGAGGCCGAACTCCACCTGCCTCGTTCAGGGTTTGCGTGAACTGGATGCAAATGCTGCTGCTTCCGCGGGAGAAGATGCTTCCAGCATTCTGATGGGCTGTGGCTGGGCAGAGTCTAGCGTCCTGCACGTATTGTCAGGGAACCTCACTTGCCCCGGCTGCTCTGCTGCCCTGACGGGAGAGAACGGTGAGAAAGCCCTAATGAGATCCACCGCAAACCCACGTCTCTCCAACTGCGTGGTGCTGGGAGGCTTAGGGTTTGAAAATCTTGACTGTTAAAGGAGTTTGAATACATCACATTCCTATGCAAAATGTTTTTAACCTCCCATTTACTGTAGTTTATTTTTGCTATATGTAAAGTATTTTTATACAGCTTGTATCATGATAGTTTAGCAATAAAACAGTTGAAAGCACGGGCTGCTTTGGTGTATTTTTTTCTCTAGCGGGGTGGGCTGCTCAAATATCCCCTTTCCGTGTGGAGTTCATACAGCAGGGAGCCTTTTCTGGGTGCACACACCTCATCTCAGCCCTATGAGGTGGGGGGATCGTTCATTGCTCATCTCACACTAGGGCTCAGAGGCCACTTGCCCAACGTGACAGAACCATGCGGTCAACCTGCCTTTGTCTGATTCTTGCTCTGTCCCCTGCAGCCGGGCCATCACCGAGTGTCTAGACCTCTTTAGAAGGAGCACCCAGGTAACTTAGATTGATAATATCTATCCTGGTGGCACCTCATAGAGGGTCTCAGAGCATTTACAGCCAGCTGGGCTGAGCTGGCCACTCGGGAGGCAAAAGCAGGCATCTGCTGGAACATCTTCCAAAGTTCCAAAGGGCGGGGGGGAGGGATAGCTTCTATTGTCCACCCACAAACAGATATTCCAAAGACTAAAACTTTCCAGTGGCTTACTCCTAAACAATAGCACACACACCCCTGCCTCATAGCTAAAGCACCTAAGAGGTTTGAAATGCATTGCTACTTATGTCTTAACACAATATTGTTCAACCTTCATCCCACTCTTCAGTGCTACCCTTAAACCCCAGGCAAGCAGGGTGCCTGTCCCAGACCCTGTGCCTCTGGGACCACTTGACCCTGCTCTTGGAATGCCTTCTTGGGGATTTTCCAAGCCCCCCTCCAATGTCTGCAGCCAGCATTCCCATATGGGTGGGGTGTCCAAAGCACATACAGGGTTATGCGTAGGTGTTGGCTGCTAGAAGCACCTACCTTGAAAGGCCCCGAGTCCCCTCTGGTGGCTGGGACCAGCTAGCTCCCATGCTTCCCTTCAGGGCAGAAGGTCAACCAGATGCCCCAAAGAACTCCAGAACCTACACCTAAAGGGTCCAAGCCGGGTTCCAGAAGAGCTTCCTGGTGAGCAGAGTGCTCCTGATGGCCAGCCCATAAGTACAGTGGTCCCTGGTTTTCGAAGGTGCTCCATTCCAGAAGACCGTTCCAGTTCTGAAACATTGGAAAACCGAGGGATCCACAGCCGACAGCTGGGCCTCAGGATCTTGCCCTCAGCGGAAGCCCTGTGGCATGTTTGACTTCCGAGGTGTGTTCGAAAACCAAAGCATTTCCTTCTGGGTTTACGGCGTTTGTAACCCGAAATGTTCGTCAATAGAGACGTTCGAAAACCGAGGTACCACTGTACTCTCACTTATTTGTGT